ACTGGAGGGATTTGCCATGTGCTTCGACTAGTTGGGACCACCCATGGATTAGCACAGGGATGTGTGCTGTCCATCCACCCCCCAGGCTAGGCCTGAGGCCTTGGGGTGGGCAGAGGCTGGAGTGTGGGAATTGTTTCCTTGGGCCTCAATTATGGAGGAGGCCTGTGCTGTTGCCAGAGGAGGAGAACCAGGAAGATGGATGGCTGCTGAAGGTACTCAGAATCTAGAGGACCTCAGGAGCATGGCTGGTGTCTCTCCTACTGAGGATTTTGTGCTCATCCCTGCTCATCTGTTACTCCAATTACTATTTGCTGTACCACAAGTGGATCTACACTGAGATTCTACCAAGGACTGGTGAGTCTGGAGTCTATGTCTGTTACACCCTGGATGTCTGGGATCCCTATACCCTCTCTCCCTAGTGTGAAGATGTTTAATAAAATGTTATTCAGCATTGCAATACTGGAGTGGACATCAGCTTTGTGGCACTAGAAGAGGGCGGTTAAATGCTAATGGGGCAGCTGAAGACCAGGTCACCTAGACAACTAGTGATGACCCGGGTTATTCCAGCGGCTCTTTAAGGGGTGAGTGCTACACTGATATGTAGAAACATGTTGTAGGTGTCCTGTGAGATAATAATGGCTGCTGGCCTTGATGACCAATCACTGTTGCATGCCTTTGTAGGGAGGATTTGCTAATTAGTATAATGCCAGAACGACAGTTTAGTCTGCTGAAAGGATACAAGTCCTTGGATGTTTACATGCTTTGCAATACAGGATGTGTAATGACAACATCCTGTATTGTGGCCTACTTGGCAAAAGGAAAGAACAAAGGGGATGTTTAAGATGAGCAGTGAGAGGCTGCTAGCCAACCCCATGAGGCATGAGCCAAGATTGTGACTGTTGACAACTCACACCAAGTAATTATCTTTAGAAAGTCTTCCAATGACAGAGCCGCATAGTTAGGAGGAATTCAAGCTAAATTCAGCCTAATCTTCAGTATTGTAAAGTTGTACAGCGTTTTGTACTGAAATATCTTTCTCTGATTTCACTGCACATGTAAACTTTTCACAGTGTGCATTAGAAGCGGCAGCAAGTCAGATAGACCCCCTACTGTAGCCCTTTTTCCCTCAGCCTGATGGTCCCTAGCCTGCCTATTTTACTAATTAGATTTCAGTTCAGTCACGGACACTCAGCATCACATATTGGCATTACCACAAATTACTGCTTTCAGGAGGCTATGTAGAGCACCCCGCAGACACCTCTCACCAGCTGTGATCTTCCTGCATTGCATAGAGAAGCACAGAAATATAGTGAGGATATCACTGGGTCTAAAATGAGTTAAGTGATGAAAATGGAGAGATTTTATTTAATAATGTTATTAGTGTTTGTATGTCTTTGTTATAGCCATACAAACTAAAGAGCCCACTGCGTTAAGTAGTACAACCATAGTAGAAACTTGTCTACCCAGCAATACGTATGCTAGAGGCTGCTCTATCCACCTTTTCTTTGCAGGAGATGATGCCCTCAGTTGCCAGGCAAAGGCCTGTGGTAAGGGAATAAGATGATATGCATCAGCTACCAAGTCTTTGATATGGACAGTCCAGATCATTCAAGCAAGTGGCAAATGGCTCTCTGCCGTGACAGGGGGAGGGGCTGGATTCCCCTCTCCCCGCTCCGATCTGCCAGCGCGGACTGGCGGAACGGACGGGGAGGGGGCGGGTACACCTGGCTCTGCCTCTAGAGAGGCAGAGCCAGCTGTCACTCACGCAGCTGGGCGGATCCCGTCATCTAAGTCGGGATCCGCTCCGGCTGCAGCGTCTCAGTATACCGCGAGCTGTAGCTCGCGGTATACTGAGCTTAGGGTAACGGGAGGACGCTAGTTTGTGTCCTCCCGTTACCCTAAGGAGAACTATGGGGAAAAACACTGACCCCATAGTTCTCCTTTAAGCCAATCATGGGCTCTCTGCAACCATAAATCAGATAGTTGGGCAATTATGGTGCTGTGTGCTGATTAGGGAATTATAAGAGCAAAGCAGCAACAGTCTGTGAGTAGATCCAAAATAGATAAAAGGTTTATTTGACACACATGTATGGGAAAAGGCCTTAGTTTGTCAGGCCAATTTCAAGCCCACTGTAGTTCATACAGATTATAAAGGTCCACACATCAAGATAAAGATTAGATTACATCATTGTCCATCATTGAATCAGTATTATTTGTTCCACACGTATACATAGCAAGTGTCTGAGTGTAGATAAGCTAAAAACGCCTAAAATTAGCCATTTCTCCAATGACTTTAAGATTTTAGATTGTAAGCCCTCCTTACCATCTTGTCCTGAATTGTATTGTGATTGCAATGTCTTTCTTATATTGTAAAGCGCTGCACAAACTGTTGGCGCTATATAAATCCTGTATAATAATAATAATAATAACAGCAAGCCCCTTCTAAGAAGAGCCACTTGCAACTTTGTCTCATGAACAAGTGACAAAACATGTATTTAAGTGTACATTAAATGTTTTAAAGTCTATAACTGTATTTAGTATATGTGAATAACATATTAAGATGTATAGAAGTCTATAACTGTATTTAGTATATGTGAATAACATATTAAGATGTATAGAAGTCTATAACTGTATTTAGTATATGTGAATAACTGCAAGACAAGACACAGAGAGCGTCTCCATCGCGTAAAAATTTTTAATAGACAGATAAAAACTGATGAAATTGTACTCACAAAAGTCGAGTAAAAACAGGCATGTAAGGGTCAGAGCGAGCAGAGAGCGCAATTAAATTGGTTCTGAAGAAGGAGGCGTGACCTCAGAAACACGTAAACCATCTATTACCAGGGAGGACGAATAGCCGGTGGTAAAGCACCTCGCGCTCTGACCCTTACATGCCTGTTTTTACTCGACTTTTGTGAGTACCATTTCATCAGTTTTTATCTGTCTATTAAAAAGTTTTTACGCGATGGAGGCGCTCTCTGTGTCTTGTCTAACAGTGCTGAGGTTTTCCTAGAACCAAGTGAGAGCTGCCTCGTTAGCATCCTGCATCACGGTCATTGCAGACTGTCTCCTTTGCACTTACACCACTGGCGCTGTGTTAAAGATTATATGTGAATAACATATTAAGATGTATAGAAGTCTATAACTGTATTTAGCATGTGTATGTAACATATTATATGTATAGAACGTGATCGCATAGGACAGGGGTCAGCAACCCGCGGCTCCGGAGCCGCATGTGGCTCTTTCATCCCTCTGCTGCGGCTCGCTGTCCAGGGGCTGAACTACCGCCGGGGCCTCGAGGTATGAGGCCCTGGGGGAGAATCCAGTGAGGTTCGGTCCCGGGCAACCCCTCTGGTGGAATATGTGGCAGTGCAGGGTCCCGGGGCACCGCACTTGCCGAAGGGCTTCTCAGCAAGGCGCCGGGTCCTCTGACTCACCTCCTCTCCCTGTCGCATCCCTAGTAACAGGCGGCAGGAAGGATGTCACATGCCCCGCCCCCTGCAGTGCACACCGTCTGGCTGTAAATGATTAGACAGGGCCGCTGTTTTATCAAAGTTTGTGACTAGGTTGGAATGTGTGAATGGTCCACTAAGCAGCTAGTGCATCTGTTGCTAAGATGCTAGTCAACATAGGACAGGTATTTGTATAACGCTCTGAACATTCCAGCAGTCAGACTGTAAAAGAATAGATGATCATAGCCTGGTAATTGTGGTTTCTAACTTATTAATACCACTGGCAACAATTTCTGTTTTTGTATCCATAATTATAGGTGTCATTCTTTTCTGGTGCTGGTTACTAAAAGCATGAACAGAATACTTGATATATGATATATGTATACATGATATATGCTCCCTGACATGATCTCCTAATGACTTTGTTTTGCTGTGGGTTACTGTGGTTGAAAAATAACCTACCGATGATTAGTAGTGTCTGATTAAAGTGTCTCTGATTCTGTTACATACTGTAACTGCCCATGAGTGTGCTATATGATCTACATGCCATAGACATATACATGTACTTTTTAGCCCTTCAAAGGCTGCATATGGTTGTAATATATTGCACTATATACAGTGATACTTCTGTACAACCAATGAAAACCTTACAATTATATACAGCTAAGCAAGGGTGCAGCCAGGGCTGGCCTGGGTGCGCCCCCTTGCCCCTGTTGCCATGGCGAGCACAGGGTGCCATGACAACAGGGACGCCAGGCGGCCAACACAGCAGCGGATCGGCAGGATGAGGAAGCACAGGCTGCAGATTCTCCTCGGATCCCTGCTGCTCTCCCACTCCTTTATGGGCAGAGGCAGTGGGGATCTGATGTGAAATTGAGCGCTGCAGTCGGCAGGGGCGAGCGAAGGAGGGATCGCTGTCACTTCAGGATAACCGAGCTATAAAGAGAGAGAGAGCCGCTCGGCCAGAATCTGACTGACAGCTGGCAGCTCTTTCTCTCCTCACTGCTCGGCCATCCTAAAGTTACAGCCGGCTTCAGCGCTCCCTCCTCGGCCTCCTCCCGTTGGCTTCAGTGCTCAGGATAACAAAGCGGAGGATCAGTAATCATCTGTGATATTTACTGATCCTCTTTGTGCAGAGCAAACACTAGAGTGATCAGCTGATCAGTGTTTGTAAATAACTGGGGACACATAGTACTATGTGTCCCCAGTTATGAATGAACAGGAAGTGCTTTATATCACTGTTCATTCATGAGTTTCTCAATGGGTGGAAGAACTCACTAATGAGGCTTCTATCCATTCATAACTGAATGATAGTAGATATTTTACTATCACCAGTTTCTGAATAAATGGGAAGCCTCTATACTGAGTGCTCTCCATTCATTTAGAAAATATGCTGCTAAAAAAGAGATTGAGGACTCTGTGTCCTCAATTTCTTTTTATATTTCAAAAGGGAAATGCCAGGGGTCTGTTTAGGCCTATGCATTCTGCAGCATAAAATCTTAATACAGAACCCAAGGACAAAATATCGTATGACTTGTGATAACATACCTCTCTGAAATCATGTTCAAAGTGTCGCAGCTGCAAGCATTGTTCCAACTTTAGCTGATGGCGACTCCAGAACTGATCAAAAGCTTTTGCTGTCTCATCCAACTGGGCCAGTAATCTAGAAAAAGCAAATAGATATGTCTAAGAGAAGATTCTTGTGTGGCCAGTAACAGAAATAAAAACAAATATATCATATTAGTACATGTAAGCTTTTGATGGGTGACACTAAAGTGTATGTATACAGGTGAAACTCGAATAATTAGAATATCGTGCAAAGTTCATTTATTTCACTAATGCAACTTAAAAGGTGAAACTAATATATGAGATAGACTCATTACATGCAAAGCAAGATAGTTTAAGCCGTGATTTGTCATAATTGTGATGATTATGGCTTACAGCTCATGAAAACCCCAAGAACCCCAAATCCACAACCTCAAAAAAGTAGATTATTACATGCAATCAATAAAACAAGGATTGTACATAGAACAATATCGGACCTCTGAAAAGTACAAACATGCATATGTACTCAGTACTTGGTTTGGGCCCCTTTTGCAGCACTTACTGCAATTACTTTTGCATGATATTCTAATTATTCGAGTTTCACCTGTAGACAATTTTTTTTTAGTTTTGGATAGAGTAGGAAAACGGTACAACCCCTGCCAGAGTATTTTTTTGCTCTCTGTGTACCATTACAGACATTTCTGGTCCCATAGATGCAACATGAAGTTGGAAATCTCCCATTGTGAGTGGGATTCCCTTTTCAGACAGTTGTCCCCAGAACAGGTGTCCCCATTGGAAAATTTCCCCTTACTGCTTGTTTTGGTCGTATTGCATGCACTACTTTTTTCACTGCAACGGAATGCACGGTCTTGAGGTACCATGGCTAGGAGGTACACTGGGGTGCCATTCAAATGAATGGCAATGCAATGCAGACTCGCACAGTAACATATGCTAGGCGCGCTGTGCAATAGTGTCTGTTAATTACACAGTAACATGCAATTAACGCAACCCTATGGCGTGAATGGGTCCTTAAGCTGTATGTAGGGTTATGGAACAATATGATTTTCACAGATACCATCAGCAACACAGCATTCTGGCATTACATATTTTGCATCTGTACTTTTACATTATTGCTTTGCTTAAACACAGCATCAGCAGCACCCCAATGTGATTCATTACAATGCCTTTTTAGGTTGTTTTGGCTGCGACCCCTGATTTTTTTTTATCCAGTGGTCATATGCCTGAATTGAACAGTGGAACTAGGATCCACAACAGATGTAAAACCTATAGTCCTAAACTTTGTACAAATTATCCAGTGGTGATTAGTATAGTTTGTGGGCTTCTTTTTTGCAGTGCCACACTGCATTGCATTAAAAGCTTGATAAAATGGGAAAGAAGAGTGAACAAAAACACTTCAAAACCACAACCCCGCTGTACCTCCTCCAATCCCGTATCTCCAATTATTCCAAAATATTCCAAATATAAACGTCTGGTATGTGTTGGGTAGAAACTGGCTTGTATCAGGACAGTACCTGAGCATTTCAATAGACAGCAAATAGAAAGCAAATAGACATTTTTTAATGCATCTGCTTCCGACAGCATGATTGTGGTTTTCAGACTGTACCTGCAGCGTATCAGCCATGATAAAGATATCATCCATTTGCCAGCTGCTATTTGTTGAACCAGAAGGTCTCCAACCAGTGCCAATTTTTTTTACACTGAAGGCCATCCCTGCCCTCCACCTGCATGTGTAATAACATGAGGCAGCAAGAGGCAAAGGAGGAATACAATGAGGAGTGTTGGGGTGCTGGCAGTTAGGAGATGGAAGAATTTTTTTAGTGAGGCTTCAAGGGGAACGTTTTGCCCCTCCTCAATACAAAAGGAAAAATCTGGGGGATCTACTGTAGCCATCCAAGTGTGGGCTCAAAATAACCCAGTCTGAGGATGAAATGCATGGAAACTCTTTGCCATATTTCCTGATGGTGAATACTGTACATCACAATGGTAAACCACAGTATTAACATTACATACTTCCTATAATTAACTCCTCAGCTATACCATGATAAGTTATCAATTTTATAAATACAGTTTAAAACCATGTATACTGTATGTAGACAATAAACTAACCATAGATCCTTTTATAAATAAATAAAACTTGTTCCCAAAGTATAGATTACATGCAAACAATAATAGAAATAGAAATGCAATTCTAGCCAATAGCATCCTTAACCCTTTAAACCAACTGGCCTTTTTGTTCATTCTATTTATTATCGTAAGATATAATTTAGAAGAAAGGTGGGGGAGGGTGAGGAAAAGCAGGGGACAGTGTGGGAGGGCACCTCCAGGAAATAATATTTAACACATACAACAGAGTTATAAACAGATCAGTGAAGCCATCAAATAAAAAGTATTCATCCATATCTATTTTACTAAAAAATACTACAGTGGATTAATAAAATACAAATGTGAATGATTTAATAAATGATGGTGTATTCTGTTTGTGTCACCCTCATGGAAGATCAGGTGCTGAATGCCAGGGTGGGTTTGCCCTATGCTGCACAGATTAAACAAATCCAATCTAGGAGGATCGGTTAAACAAAACAAACAATACACTAGTTCACTGAAAAGCTGCTGATGCTTGTTGTATCATTCTATGATTTTGCACCAGGGCCCTGCGGCTCTCACATCCCTGAGCATAAACTTTCCACAAATCCGAGTAGCCTTAATAATAGGTGCGAAAGATGCAGCTGCTCCCAGACCACTACTCCAAGGAGCCTCCAGCCATACCTACTAACGGTCACTGTAAAAGGCCAGAATTCTGATCGGTGCAGCTCCGACAGAGCAGAAGGCTTCTGCTTCTGGTCTTATGACAAACAAATTACATTATAAAAGTAATGTGTATATAACCTTCAGCACAATGTAGCCACATCTACCTTTTGCATATCATTCCTGTGCCAGGGTGTCCCTGATTTTGTTAAACTTTAATCTTGAAATTGTATGGTATGCCTTTCCCCGATAGCTGATCTAAACTCTCCTGTCATTGCACTGCTCTGATCCAGCCTGATAGCTTGGTTACTGCAGCAGACTAAGCAAACTCGCAGTCACTGCCACAAATTACAGGCTGTACTAAAGCTATGCACTGATTCCAGACAGCCTAACATTGCGGAGAGGTTCTCTGTAAAGCCCAGTAGGTGCGTTGTCATTTAATGGAGCTGATTCTCCCATCAGTGCTGCAGAGAAGGTGTGTCTTCTCCAGTGTAAAGGTACTTTTCTTTGCTGAAGTATCACACGGGATATTTAAGTTGCTGGCCCCTGTCACTGTATGGTTTGTTGGGGGCTGTGGAAAGTGATGCTCCAACAGGCCTGGCAATTTCATGAATCATATTTAAAATTTGTTGAATTTGTTGAACTGAGCTGTCAAACACATTTAAGTCTATAGGGGTGAAACTTGCTATTCAATTAGGGCCATTTGTAGTGCTACTGAACAAGCTACCTATTGCTGCTTCCTGCCTGGTGCTTGTCTGAGCTACCGTCTCCCTCTCAGCTTATCCCGCTCTCTTCCTCTGCCTCTGAAGAGAGCAAGACTTGCACAATAAATATGTGCAAAATAGGTTATGAACAGAAGAATGTTTTTCCTCTACACACACATACACACATGTCCTATTTCCTTTTCATAATATGAAGATTTTTCAAGTGTCTTGTTTGTTTCACAAAGCGGTACTTTTATGTGTCTGATAGTTCCCCAGATAACTCTCATAGGCAACACTAGTACAGAAACATGAGCAGGACTACTTTTTTTAACATACATTAGAAAATACAGACAAATAGGAACGTGAGCTACAGCCAAGTTTCCATAGCTTCCTGACTGAGCTAACAAGTACTGGCACTAGTAACAATAACATGATAAAAAAGTAAATAGAAGAATGACGGCAGAAAGAGACAAAGTAGTTCATCGAGTCTTCCCCTTTTAATTTTTTTTTCTTTTTTGGATGTTTTTAGTGGCACGTTTTTTTTCTGTGATTTTTGTTTTTAACCTTTTTGTCCAGATATAGATCTATTTTGTCCCATGCAAGGTTAAATTCACTTACTGTTGACTGATTCATAACTTCTGCTGGAAGTCTGTTTCAAGCATCATACTATTTCAGTAAAATAATACTTTCTAAGGTAAGCTGTGAACTTTCCTCCTTGTCCCCGTGTTCCTCACCATAGCTTCATGTTGAAAATATTGACCTACTGAACCTTACTCACACCATTTATGTATTTGAAGCTTTCAGTCATGGCCCCCCACCCCCACCCTTTCCCTTCTTTATCAAAACTGTACAATTAAGTTCCTGCATTCTCTCCTGATATGTTTTATCCCTCAGGCTTTTACCATTTTGTTGCCCACCTCTGGAATCTTTCTATCTCATCAATATCTTTTTGTAGGTGAGGTTTCCAGAACTAGACACAGTATTCCTATTGACTTCTACCTAAAGATCTACATAGGGGAATCAGGACCTCCTTTCTCTTGCTGGTGATCCCTAATGCACCCAAGAATTCTACTTGCTTTTCCAATTGCCAAGCCACACCATTTTCCTACGTAGCAATAATCTAAAATAAGCACCCCCAAATCTGTTTCTTCTGTAGTTCTGACCAACATTGTACACTCGATATTATACTCTGACAGAGGATTCTTTATTCCTAAGTGCATTATTTTTTATTTAGAAATGTTGAACTGCAGTTTCCACTGCTTTGACTTATCTTCTAGCAATGTCAGATCATGATCTATGCTACAAACCTCTCCAGAAATCAACCATATTGCCCAACTTTGTGTCATCAGCAAACTGTCAGACCTTCAAACCTCCAAACCTTCAGTCATATCAATTGCAAACAGATTAAATTAAACAGAATCTAGTACAGAGCCTTGTTGTACACTGCTAGAAACTGGTAGAGATGAGGTCTGGGTTCACTGCTAAAATGGATTTGCAGCAAATCCCCAGGATTTACGAATTGCAAACTTCTGGTATATAAGTGCACAGGTTTACCACCAGCAATAACTAAAAACCTATAATGTAGTGCATAGCTTTTGCCCCTGGTCATTTGAGTTACATGAGCCAAAGGTTAGGCTCAGAGCCGTCG